CTATATCATTCCTTGAACAATAAGCTATATCCTTGCTGAACAATAAGCTATATCATTCCTGAACAATAAGCTATATCCTTGCTGAACAATAAGCTATATCATTCCTGAACAATAAGCTATATCCTTGCTGATAATTCCTCCTCCCTGCTGATAACTTCATTTCAATTCATTGCTAACTCATATTGTCCAGTTGATTGAAAATGAAATCATAATCATTCAACATTTATTTAGATTTGTTCAAACAGAAAAACCGGATAAGTTTCAATGGAGTTATAACTTAGTCCATCTCAATTACATTGTAAATCTATAACAGTGACAGTAATCTAACATTCCGGAAAATGCTAATCGATTAAATTGGTATTACCTTCTGACTGCTATTATTCTCATTTTCGAAAGGATTTATTAATAATAATTACCGAATTTATAATTGTCATCTTTCTCTTATCCTCATTTCTTGTCATTTCAGGTGCATATGAAAATGCGCCAAAATAATTTATTACGAATAATTCAAATTAAAGGTAACTCAAAAGGGCTAATCTTCAATATGAATATGCTTGCATCAAATATAATACTCGATTAATCATTTAACAGTATTATTAATTTTTAAATAATTATACAATTACTTCTTCTTGTTGCTCTTAGATTTGTTAAATATTTTTATTTTCATTTTGTTAATTCGTTCAATTAATATTTTTTTGTTTTTTGAAAAAACATACTACTGCTTATAATGACATTCGTCGTTATTTGATATTTAAAATGCGACACAAACTTATTCACCTTTTTTATATCACTGAAGGAAGTTTACATAATTACTGACATATAATAATTAGGTTATAAAAAGAAAAAGAAAGAAAACAAAATATAAGTTATTGAGTGACAGATAAGCTGTGATTGATAACGAAGAGGACTATTTAATCAATTAATTCTTCCGTGATTCTGCTAATAAGGCTTCAAAGGTAGGAATTCGCTTGTAATCTCTATGAATGAAATGTCAGTGCTTGCATTTAGTCACTTAGAAAGCTAGTACTGTCTGAAATTAGTTTATTTGGAAATTTTGCAATCGATTAAACCGAAAACTTTGCAGCATGCATCTTGCAGTAGTCGTGAACTTGGTTGTGTCATCTGAGATTTCACTTATACTTAAGACTATGACAGTGTAATTATTTGATGCTTTTTCGGTTTACATTATATATATATATATATTGGAATTATCAATTGAAGTAAACAAAGTTCCGTCCTGAAATACTTCATTCCAATGATTTGTACGGATTGTAAATCTTTGGCGGAAATGGATGATTCCAAGACCGCAAATAATGAGAAATATTTTGTCGCAAATTTATAATTGTTAAAGTTTTTCCACTTCTTTTACCTTAATAATGCAGGAATTAATGCAAACAATTTAGTGCATAAATGATTAAATGGCCTTCAGAATAAAATGTTTATACAAACTTGGGGGAATGAATGATTCCAAATTAAGTATCACCCCGCTCACCGGTAGTTCTTGATATTATGAAAACAAAAAGATTTCTCTAACAACCTACTTTTGTAATGACTGTTTAACTAAAATAGCTAAGAGGTAATTTCAGGTTGTTAATTGTTGTAATATTGCATTTTGTTAGGTTTTTTTTTTTTTTTTTTTAAATTTGGGACAAATGGCAAATCTCTTCAACATTCAATTGCAGACTGCACATCATTTGATAGAATGTTTAATGATATAAAGAAACTATTGAAATTTTTTTCTTCCAATCATTGACTCGTAGATGTGATTAAAAGTCTAAAATCTTCAATTGATATGTTAAGCATTAAGTAAAATAAAATTACCGAAAACTTTCAGATCAAAGAAATGTTGAAAGGAATATGCTAATTCATGACTGGAACTTAAATTTATCAAAATTAATCATTCCAAACTTCAACTGGATTGATTTGATTGTTAGAAACAATCAGTTGGATTGCTATCATTTCTTGTAAAATTTTACTTTTACAAAACATTTAATCATTCCAGAACATTCACTTCAATTCCATTAATGGCAAAGTGATAAGTTCAATTTGCAACAGATCTCCAATTCAGTGTCATTATCGATGTCATCTGCTTCATCAAATCATTCAGCTATTTGATCAGTTCAGATTTGTACTACAAAATTGAAAAGCTCAAGTTTAATGCTTAACATTTCGACAAATTGTTTGATAAATGGAAATGTTCAATGTTAATTATCTCTTTCTATTTTAATTCATATTATTAATTGAAAAAATTTCACCCTACTTCTCTTTTTTCCCATTATTTTTTGATGGTAATTGATCAATGATCAATGTTATTATATTTTTATCATCCAAAAGATTTTGCAAATTTCCATTCTATTTCATTGTCTTGTCGTTTACTAATGATAATTGATCGATCGATTGATAAATTTCCTCCCATTTCATCTTTTTAAAAATAAATAAAATTATATTAAACAGAAATGACACGACATCACATCCAATTACTTCTCAAATTATTTCAAAAATTTCGATCTATCAAATTCGATTTAAAGTTTCATCCATAATCTCTTAGATTATCCAATGTTTTTTTTTTGTTTTTTCTGCAAAAAACTTGCAATTTAGAATGGTTTCTTTACTTAAATTAATTGTTTAATTAAATTTAAGCATGAATTTAATATTCATTATGACTCAACCCAGCTACAATCTGTGTATGAACAGAAATTATCTAACTTATCTAAATTGTATCCAAGTTGTCCAAAATTTGTTAAAATTATCAAAGTCTTAGCAAATTTCGTATTTTGATGGCGAAATGAAATAGTTAGATTTGCTGCATATAAGTGAAAATTAATTTTTAATTTACAATAAAAAAGCTTAATAATTTACTGAAATCAAAAAACACGAATAATTAATATGTTAGTAAATGAATTCAATGAAATTTCTGCGAATACTTTCAGTTAAATTATTTCATTTTTTTTTGCATATGAATTGAAATGAATAACTGCGATATATAGAAATGTTTAATTGATATTGGATAGTAATTGATTACTGTACTAAAATTTGCATCCGGTATTAAATTCGTAAAGGATGACGATGGAAAAAGTTTCTTTTTTTTTTGAGGACATAAACTTGTGGGTAGTATTAAAATTGAGAACGATTGCTTAGTTGGCATGGAAAAGATGAAAAATGTTTTGATGGGCCAAAATATTTGGCCAAGTAATATGCCAACAAACGGTATTTTTGAATTAATTGATAGTAATATGAAAATGAATTAATTAATAGCAATATGAAAAATATGGAAATGATGGGAAAAAGTAGATGAATTTTGTCAAGTGTTCAATTTTTTCATTGATTAAATTAAATTTTAAATCAATATTTGTTTTCTATTCATTTAAATTCAAAAATTGACAGAAAAAAAAACTTGGAAAATTTGAATGGAATTCAATGGCGGCATAGTTCATATAGTTTATTACAGGCTACAGTGAAATGATATGATAAACGTATTATCACAATATAAACTCTAAAATGCTCAAATCAAACTTTCAATTCTACTGGAGATGGTTTGCATCTAAACAACAATTACCGGAATCATTACTTTACCAGTGGTACTAAAACTTATACCATTACTGAACCAATAAATGAAAAGGAAACAAGAATTTAAAGAAAATTTTTATAAAGGAAAAAGAAAACTGACCCCAATTAACCGGGGTTAATTACATCACATTTTCTTTTATGGCTATTATTTAATATGTTGATCAAAACGAATATTCTTTTCATTTTAGGCATCAATACAGCACATATAAAGCTATGGCCAGGATTATAACATAAAAATTTGTAACATAAGTAAGGCAATATGGAAAGATTTCAATTTGTTGACAAACCATCTTATGTTGATTTGGCAATTCATTTGTTATTAATGACCTTGTACAAACAGGTAGGTCGTTAAATTTTTTTTCTTCCTTTAGCGATAAAATTTCAATGACTCATTCGTAAAACAATTTTCAGAAGTTTTTAAAATCTCTACAATTTATCTGTACATTTCTTTTTCACAATATATTTGTATAAAGGTAAAATTTTAGCGACGAATTTTGTAAATCGTTTAGCTAATTAAGGTAAATTATATTTTCGAATTTTGGTTTTCGTAGCTAATTTAGGTTTTCGCAATTTTTAATGACAGTTAGATATGATGAATAACTAAATGCAAACAGCATTGAGTTTGTTAATTTCAGTTGACAAATAATGAGAAGATTATTTGAAGTGCCTTTTTTTGAATCGAATGAGTATCATAATTACTAAGTTTTCCGAAGATTTCAAATTTTGGATATTGAAAAATCTAAACGTAAAAGTTTTTCATTGGAAAAAAAAGTAATCTTAAGATCTAAATTTGAAAGTTTAAAAGTAGTCATTTTATTTAAACGAACCTGTTAAATGTTTACCTGTTAAATGATGAATTGATGTGTGTATAGACACGAGACCAACGCTCATTAATCACTTTCTTTTTTTTTTTTAATTTAATGACGGAGAAAATTCCATTCATTTCATTTTCGGTATTTTTCATTTTTAAATTTTTGCGTTTAAATTTCATTTTTTTCAATGCCAATTCATTGCCATTTATTTACCAAATAATGATTTCATTCGAATTATTTCGTGCAAAATTTGTGCCTAAATATTTGCGCTTGTCAATGTTTCAGTGGTCAATGTTTCAGCTAAATGTGTCAACTCTAGCAGTCCAAATGTCGCAAGCTATCATCTGAACTTGACATTTTACATTCTAGTTTTTAGCAATAAACAATGATACATAAGCCAACTGATTATGCTGTTTTGAGAATTGATTTGAAATTGAAAAATAATTTTTAAATTTTTCGATGGAAATTTTTGAATTAAAGTTTTACTCAAACATACGATTCATCCAGAATCATCCGTTCAGAGAATTCTGGGAATTTAGACTGGCTAGATCGAGTGAGCAACCATTATTTTTTAATTGTCTTAGCCACTATCAATTCTTAAGGATTACTTATAATTTACTATTATTTATATATAAATTAGACTTATGTTTACTTTTATTTTTTTATACTTTATTGATTAGTGCCAAGATTTAGCTATCAATATTTCACATAATTAATTTGCACATACTAGAAATGACCATGAAGGATTTTCCTGTTCTAAGTTTTCTAGTACCAGTTGTCCTATTGTCCACTACATAGGCAAATTACTTCACTGGTCAGTTTGCCAAATAATCATAAAAATTTTCCGTCTATCAAACGTTAAAGGTTCAGCTAAACACGGACGTTTCCATTATGAGCAACAAAATATAGTATTTTAATACGTGTAAAGTTGCGAAAATTCTTTACCTTAAAAACATATGCGAATTCTTGCGAATGGTTACGAATTTTTGAGAATCGTCACGAATTCTTGCGAATGGTTACGAATTCTTGAGAATCGTCACGAATTCTTGTGAATCACTATACTATTTTTAAGGCAGAAATTTCCTTTTTTTTCGTCATAATTATGTTGAAATATTATTTTTTTTAAATCAATTTCATCTTTTTTTTCAAGGTGAAAAATTTTTAGAATGTTACTTTCAATTTTAATGTATCTTTTAACAATTCCACTCTCGACGATCCGTAACATATCTGCGGAACAGGTCGATGGATTTAACATATCTATGGAAAAAGCTGCTGTTAGTCTATTAAGTTATAATTGCATACCATGTCTTAATTAATTACCAATGACTTTCTTTGATCAATATATTAACATTGTTATTTTAGAATATATGTCATGCGAAAAA